ATTGTTCCCCCGACATATCAGATATTCCTTTTATATCTTCTTATCTAAATTCCTGACTGTCCTTTGAAATTAATTGTGACTTTCATAGCATCATTCTTAATTATTATTGCACAGATGTTTATACTAACATCCAGTTTCACTCTGTATCCTATTACATAAATCTAAATGTATTCATCCGAGTGCTTTAAGGGATTTTTATTTTATTTCTCTCAATTGCTGGTTTCCTTCTGAGGTTGATATTCATTACACAATTGTTATTCTTTTCATGGATCAAAACTTTTCACTAAGTGTTCACTTCTTTTCTCTCTTCTTTCCCTCTAAATAAATATTATTCTTAAGATTCTGAAGTTTGTAATTAAGACAATAAGTTGTGTTACACTTAAATTAACTTCTCAGACCTGTTTTATATTCACTATGCATATATGACTCATACATATTGATATTGTAGTAACTCACATTGATCACGAGAACACGATTGGTTTAATAAAAACAATCATTATTATAACCAACTGTACCAGTGTTTGTTTTAACGTGCTTTTGTTTGACTGTGCTAATGACAGCTATTTTGTGCTTCCATTCTTATACTTACACTTCGATTGTAACTTCGCGCGAATTCGGTTACCTTCTGTAACCAAGGTTGTATCCTGGCACGATCTCGGTATCCTCTCGCCAGCAAATATAACTCGACTTGGTCCATTACTTGCCTTCTGGTATTTGGCTTCTCGGGGATTTTATGGATCTATTTGGTTACGTCCAACCCTCGCCTTCTGATTTATTTGGCACGTGTTTCTTGGTAGCGGTGTTCATAATTAACCTCGACTCGACACCACGCTACAATATTTCATTATCCTTTTCACTCAATTGAGACTTTCATCGCATCACTCCAAACTATGACTGCACAAAAATTTATTCTAGAGTCATATCTTACTACAATAATAAGTTGTTTTTTCTTAATTATTTTTTGTTACTAATTTGACGATATATACATAGTCGTTTGTTCTTGTTTTATGTTCATAAACACGTCAATTAAACTGTTTGCGTATTTCACGTCTCCTTTATTTCTATTCCCTTATTTTCTCCATTTCCTTCTTTAAACTCAATTCAACATTCTTCTCAATTACACTGACCCGATTTATTACTATTAATATTCTACTATTACTCTAATTTTTTTTTAATATGGCAAGTATAACGCTAACATTATTGAAAATTGTGTATTATTACATTTTTTGAAGAAACCCGAAATGGTTTCTTCACAACACTTATGTAACCATAAGATGTTTGTGAATAATAATAATAATAATAATAATAATAATAATAATAATAATAATGATAGTAATAAAAAAAATAATAATAAGGATACCTGGCTTCATGGTTGAAATCTGTCAGGAGTCCATGGTACAGTGCCAATTCATCCATTTTCGTTGGTTACATTGAAGTCAAGCTCTGTTCCTTTTTGTCTGTCTCATAGTTGGTTTTATACTACAAGAATATTGCTTGACAGACTTGTCGTGTTTTGGTTATGGAAGGTTTCTAGTACGTTAGTACCATTGTTACTATTTTTATACAAGCATTGTGAACTACGGTTGCTATGACAAATAACTTGTCGTGTAGTTCGTCTGCGCTACTATCAGTAAGTAGCATGGGAGTCAGAACACTTGCCGCTTAAAGTTTACTCATTACTGCCGGTGTGTAATTATCAATCTTAGTACTGATCATTTTCGACTTTGAATATTCCATATAATCTTTTTATTTGATCAACTGACAGTGCTACAAAAAGGTCAGTGGTAGGTTCGGATAAAGTTAATGAAGGGCCTGTCTGTAGTATCATTAAGCGAAGACTAAGAAGCCAGTTGTGGTACATAGATCCCGAGAATAAGTAACTTTATAGGTCTATAGTGGTGACGTCTGACACACTTGACAAAATAATCGTGAGCACATATACAAGAACCAGTGATATCATATGTGATAACACATCGGTCTATAATCATGATAAACATTCGCGTCATGTCACTCTGTTTCCCGCTTCACTGGATTTTAGGTCGTAACATAGGAAGGAATTTGGAGAGTAGCAGTCACGGATATTTCGTATTCGTTATCCTCTTTAAACCCAGACAATCAGCTTTCCCCTAAGTACAATTGAAAAATAAATAAATCGATTAGGGGAATCGACTCGACGTTTGACTATTACCCATCAGTTGTATGAAGACTGTTCCCCGTCCCAGTAGATTGTCTACCATCTTGAGTAAAGAATCGTGGTCAGACAGCAAAATACCTGTCCATCATGAATAAAGTTTTCTTGTATTTCCAAAAACACCTAGTCAATGTGTTTTGATTTCCAATGAATTCAGGTCTTGGAAGCCAATATAATTGTTGTCGCAGGAACTTGGCTCACCGTAGATGTAGACTGTTCTGCCATCATTGGAGGTTACATCCATATTGGAAGTGATAGAGTTTTAAGTCGCAAGGGAGGAGGCATAGTGTTGTGTGTTAGGGATCACTTCCGTATACAGTCGATTGTATCGGTGGCAAATGTGAGGTAGTATATTGCAGAATTACGCCTAGAAACGGGTTAGTGGCTATAGGAGGAATGTACCGTAGTCCGTGTTTTCTCGTTGACGACTTTACCTTAAGACACAACTGTTGTTGGGGTAAAGCAGAATGTTGTCTCATCATTGGAGATCTCAACACACTGCATATTACCGGACAGGGCCTACATAACCGGATGGGTGTTCCGATTGCGACCTTCAATCAATCATTATTCAGTGTTCTCGTGTATCTGCTTCACTCCGACCCTATATCTGGCGAGCTAATATTCCGGCAATCCACTGACTAGTCGGTCGATGTGGATGGATCGATCGAAGACGAATGGAATAACTTTGAGGCTACATTCGAGCCCGTAATATCACCGTTTATCACATGGTCAACACGTAAGCTATTACATTGCCCTCCATGGATTACTAAGGAAACTCAGAAGCTATTGAAGCGTATGAAACACTTCTGGGACTCACTCTCGTCAACATGACACGCATCATTTATATGTGAATATAAAACAATCCGGCATACATGTAAATTCCGTACTACTTACGAACGACAATTGGCATATTGCCGTACTTGTTCGAAACGATTGTTTTCGTGTGTTAAACGGCGGGTGAAACGTAGTGATGGTATTCTCCCGTTACTGTTACACGGAAATTCAGATTTACTAGCTGAATCAGATCGGGCAAAGTCTAAGAATTTTAAAATAGTTGTCGGAGTCAACTTTGTGTGTATTGTTACAAATACTTGTTCTTATAACACCGCTCAGATATCAGCTATAAGATCTGCACATGTGACTGAGCAAACTGTTCTCTCATTGGTACCGGGCTGTGATGCGTTACATGCACGACTGCTGTGATCTCTCGTGGAAATCATTTCAAGAGCGCCCTTGACGCTCTTCAACATGCAACTTTCACTCGCTCAACTCCCTAGAGACTTGAAAGACGCTTTGATCAGTCCTATATTTTTGGATGGTCAGAGACAAATCTTATCTGACTACCAGCATAGTCGATAAGTTACTTGAAAAGATATTTCGGTTCAAGGAACTAAGTCACATAGATTCACACAATCTGTTAACTCCCGACCAACATGGGTTTCGCAACGAGCGTTCATACTTGAATAACTGACTTATTGCGAAAGAGGATTAAACAACGACCCTAGGAAACGGTCTGTTTGTCGATGTGATATTCATAGATTTTAGCAAAGCGTTTGGCAAGGTTTCACATTTAGATCTTATGCAGAAGCTCTCGAGCTTCGGAATGATAAATGCTGTACAAGAATGGATAAGTAACTTCTTATATGACCGCAGAAAGAGAGTGTCAATGGAATGCTATCCGAATGAAAGTTGGTCAAAAGTGGTGTATTACAAGGCACCATCTTAGGCCCTCTACTTTCCCGTCTATACATTAATGAATTACGGCTTTTGCTTGAGTTGTCTACATTATTGTTTGCGGATGATGTAGATATCTGGTGAACAATAAGAAGTGAGGCTATTCATTTTGATTTACAAACTGACTTGAACGGATTGGTAAGGTGGGCTCGAGGTTGGGATTTAGAAGTGTGCTCATGCACATCGGACACGGTAGTAGTTTTAATTATACTATTGATGGTATATCGGAGTCACCAATTTCGTGTCTTTAGGTAACCCTCGTGCTATGGACAGAAGAAAACAGACTAGTAGTGATAGGTCTTCATTAAGATCTTCGCGAAGTCACAGAGGAGCGTGAGATTACCTGTTCGGACAAACAAAGTCTCTCGACATTCAATATAAGATAATAGGAAATGTAAGGCCTTTGCAAACTAAGGAAGTGAATGAATGCTTGAACTCTACTGTTTTGACATATGCTTAGTTGTTTGAGGTCAACTCTTAACCAATCAACCTAAACTGTTACACATTCTTTCCATGCATTCAAGAACATGAAGACTTAGGAGTAATAATAAGTCATGACTTGAAAACAACTACGTGTTGCAACACAGCTGCTGTCAAAGGTTGTCGTGCGTCATCGTCTGATAGATGATACTAACTCACTTGAGCGTGTTCAGCGTGTGGAAACAAAATTAGTTAAGGGTCTTTCTAAACTGTCTTACGATGAGCGCTTAATATGCCTAAACCTTTTCCCCTTGTCGTATCGTAGGATGCGGGGTGAATTTATACTGGAATTTTGTAGCTTTAGTTGTGATTTAGGTATCAATATCTCTCATATGTTTGCTCTCTCCATCATTAATAATCTCTGAGGTCATAGCAAGTAGGTCCACAAATCGCGATCTAATAAATTTAAAGTGAGGTAGCGTTGTTCTCATCAAGTAGTCAATGTCTGGATCGCCTTACCCAAACAAGTGTTATCAGCCCCATCAGTGAATATTTTCAAGGAGCATCTGGGCCTTCACTGGAAACAAATTTGTCAGGATTAACACAGGTTCACCAACCTACTACCCTTAATACTGAAAACTGAAGACTGAAACAAATTATTGCGAGAGCGTATTTTTCAAACTGTACGTTGCGTTTGCAAGTTTGTTTTTAATGGTCATCAAGCGTTCATTATAATTATTCTCAATCAACTTCCTGATCTTTGACATGTGAGAACTCCAAAATATTTTATACACTGTCAACTGTCCGTGTTTTATCGTCAGGTTTCTTTATATTCACTTTTGTGACTAATATTTAGATAGCATGCACACCTGTAGTATTTTCCCCCCACTTATGGTGTCTTTTGCGTCTCTAAAGCTCATCATTTGACTTGCGGTTATGATGTGTCTGTTGTATGAAGTGTTAAGTGTTTCGGATAATTCGTTGCTTCCTGCGATGAGTTCCTCAACTTTGAGTAAATTTTCAGGACATATCATGGAACCTCAAATGTGTTTTCAGAAAGGTTCTTATACAGTGGTGAAACTACGTACACTTAGTTCTAGAATCTGCCTTTTTAGTCTTGACTTTAAAAAAAATGGGATGGAAATTGACATTTTTCATTGTGCAATGGGGGATGAGGGGAGTTCGCTCATTCAGTGTTAACACTGGATGGGTTACATAGTTCAACGCAAAATGAAGATAAATGTGAAAATTTGATTTGTGGACACCCTTTGAGAAGTGTCAAGGTGAACTTAAAATACTTCACCTACTAGCTAGCGTCCAAAGAGGTTTATAAATTAGTGTTTGGAATTATAATTGGGACTTAAAATTGTAAGTTAGGGTTAAATATTAGAGTTAGGGTTTTCTTATGAGGGCCACTCTCCAAGCCTCTGACCCAGAGGTTTAGCCCAAAAGGCAGTTGGGCAGCGTTAGGAGATGCAGTCTCATGGTACATGGTGACCATCAATAGGTGCATACGGCATTCGTTCCCTCAGGACCCTGGAGCCAGCCCATGTACACCATTGGTTTGGAATCAGGGTTTTCCAACTCTCCTAGATGTATCCTTCATATTCGCCAACCCGGTTGAAGTACAGGATATTCGCTTTTCGTCCTCTCACTTTCGTAAACAACACTCGTGGTGCGAGAAGGGAGTGAGTAGGACGTCCTTGTCAGTGGCTGTATCGATTTTGCCATGTGAGAGCATTTCGTATTTTTGCTTGCTGTCAAAATCTTAAGTAGCCCATAGATTTTAGTTCTACAGATTTTCGAAGCCTATAGATTCGGTCAGCTTAAGTAATTTGTCAACTTTGTGTTTTTCGACCACAGCCAGATTATTGTTATTTAGTTTGGTTTTTAATCCGTACTTATCTAATGATTTGTACTTTTTCTCAACAGTGTCAACAGGTTTGATAAACATCAACGTTTTTTACTTCATAGTACAGTTAGTGAAGTAGTGTAGAACCGAAACAACACTTTGATTCCACTTGGTCGTTGTTTTTACTAGTTGCTTAAACACTAACAGCATTGGAGTTTGTGGTTTGATATCTACCACCCGTTTTATGAGGAAAACTTTGTGCATCAGTAACGATCAAATCTTCACCATACAGTACAAAGAATCCAGTAAACGACTAAGATAAGGTACGGAAAAACCATAAAAATGATTAGAAAAAGAGAAAGCCATACAGAGTACCGGTTTATGTTGAACACTGGAAAGATCTTGAGTTGTTATCAGTCAGTTATGTATCTTTTGTTCGGTCATTCAGTCAGCTACAAAGTAGAACCAGGCACATATATGCGTCGGTCCAAGTTGCCATACCTCATTAGCACAGCAAGATGAACACCGGATTCATAGGATCAGTTAATTCAATGGTGTAATATATAAAAGAAAGATTTTATGTAAGGATGTAGTACAGAGAGAAAGAATTGGTTAGTAGAAAGAAAGATATGAAGCGATTTTATTCTCATAGTTTAAGGGAAGACAGAGAGTGTATACACCGACGCCATTGTGATCGATTCTGAGCCATGTCACCAAGAGTCTCCAACCATTGGTTACGATAGTCACTTGGACCCTAACCAAGTAGTGTGCATCTACCAACATGGATCAAACCAGAAGTTAGTGACTTAAAGGACTGATGCCACGTTTTGGTTTGGCCGCCTGTTACTTTCTTCCAACCATCTCCAACACCGGTTAGCATTGCGCGTCGTGATAATCGGTGTTCAGGCATACGTAACGCGTGGCCCAACCATCTGTCATTATTATTATTATTGTTATTATTATTATTATTATTATTATTATTATTTGAACATATAGATATTGGTACAAGGCGACACCAAATATATATGCGCCACACAAATCTCATTTGATTTGTGTGAGGGCTGTGATACTGCCCGGGTGCCCAGACCGAATCAAGTGGTTTTCTTATGAGGACACATCCGGAGCCTTCAACCTAATGGTCCGATCCACAAGACAGTGGAGCAACGTAAGGAGATGCAGTTCCATGGTGACCGGTGACCAAAGATTGGTTCATACTCTATTTGTTCCTTGAGGATCCTAGAGTCAGCCCATGTGCACCATTGGTTTGGAATCAGTGTTTTCCAACTCCCCTAGGTGAACTCTCCATGTCCACCAACCCAGTTAAAGCACTGGACATTCGTTTTTGGTCCTCTCAATTTGGTAAACAACACTCGTGGTGCGCGAAGGCAGTGAGTAGGACTTCCCTGGTGGTGATTGTATGTATGTGGCCATGTGAGAGCATTTGGAGAGAGAGAGAGGGAGTGCTGACTCTCACCACTCTCGGGCGTACCAGGGTATTTGGGGGCTCCATCTCAGTCGGTGAAGGTTCACAACCTCATCAAGTGATTTACCCTGCGTTTAACCTCACTATTACTTACCCGGTGATCCATTAGTATGTCTATGATGAAGTTAAACAAAAAATGGAGAATGTGGACAGCCTTGACGAACACCACTCGAGGTTGGAAAAGCAGATGACAGTTCGTCATAAGCTCTGACTCGACTAGTAGTGTTCGAGTAATGAGCCTTCACAAAGTTTATGTAGTTCTGAGGTACGCCTTTCAATGACGAACACTGCCACAGAACCTCCCAGTTTACAGAGTCAAATGCTGCCTTGAAGTCAAGAAAGACCACCATTGTCGGACATCGATAAGTATGCCTGTGTTCTAGAACCTGATGAATGGTGAATATGTAGTCGATGCAGCCACGACCAGGTCTGACGCCAGCTTGGTTCTCTCGTGTTTGCAGTTCACGAGTCTTAGTTAGGCGTCTGATAATTATTGAGGCTAGTATTTTAGATGCTATGTTAGTCAAACTAATCCCTCTATGGTTGTCACAGGATGATTTTGATTCCTTCTTATATATTGGGACGATCAGTGACTGTGACCAGTTAGATGGAATAACGTCTAACTCCCAGATCTTAGCTAAAATATTAGTCAACCGAATCGCTAAAATTGGACCACCATCCTTAAAGACCTCTGGAACCAATCTATCTGGACCAGCTGCTCTTTCTCGTTTCAGATTAGCTATAGCCTTACGAACTTCAGCTAGGGTCGGGGGACCTACTTCAATGTTCCATTCACGCTAGCTGGGAATGTTGAGTAATTGTAGAGTAGCTGAAGGCCAGATGAACTGTTCTTTGAGGTGTTCCGCCCATCGTTCTAAACGTCTGGACTGGGAGCAGATGAGAGTATCGTCTTTTTCCGATATAATCTCACTTACACTTGACTTATTAATTCCAGTTTCTTTTATTAGCCTGTAAAGCTGTCTTTTGTTCCCTATAGTCGCCGCCTTTTCCATCTCTTTTGCTTTCGTTGCCCACCACTGCTCACGGTCGTTCCTTAGACTTTTGGTTAACCTATATTTGATTCGCTTTCGCTCATCATCGTGTTCAGAGCCTGATTGGATGAGTTTACGAGAACCCATCAGTGCAATAGACCTTAAAGGAATCCATTGGTTTTTTGTAACCCTTTGGTTTAAATCACTAATAGATGTCACTGTTGTTTCCACAGGTGTTTGTATATCTTTCCAAGCAACATCTGGGTCAGCCTCGTGTTCAGAACTACCTAAGTGTAACCTCAGTTGTTCCTGGAATCTACTTTCGGCTTTCTCGTCACTCAATTCAATTCTAATGAGTCTTTTTAATGTGGCTTTTCTTCGACCAGTGAGGTGAAAGTAGATGCGTGCCCGTATTAGGGCATGGTCGGAATCCAAGCAGGCATTCCACAACGAGTTATAATCTTCTATTGAGCATCTCTATTGAAGACTGATGGCAATATGGTCTATTTGAGCCCATTGTTGGCTTGGTGCAGGGGGTCGCTATGTTATTATCTAAATACTTTTTCAAATGGGTGTTATGATTTAGTTATCAGGATATCTTTCGTGTTACCTAAATGAAAGTTACATTGTAAATATATACTACCTCCAAATTCATGTTACAATTTACAAGGAAACTTGTAGACATGTTACATAATTCAGTACTATCTGACGGCTCTTTCATTTATTTATTTTAACATTCCAGACTTTTACTCATTAGCTTAAACTAATGCAAATAGCTTTGTTAGGTGATTTCAATACAACGTTATTTCTAGCAGGCTTATTGTTTGATCCCTGCCGGGAAATCAGGTTGATATTTTTCATTTTTAGTCAGCTACTTTAAGCTCCACTTTTCTCCATTTCTCTTTTATTGTGAAACTCAAATTATTTTACGTATATTATTTTCGAAATTCCATAGAAAGTGTTCCGGGTAGTTATACCAATCGAGCGAGGTTTAGTTTTTGAACGAATCGCAATTGAAACTTGGTCTCTTTTTCAACAAGCAAATTCAATGACATTTCCAATTTGTACAGAAAGTAATCACGCTCCATTTAAAGATCAGATTGACGATGAGACCGTAATGTTTGATCTGGACATGAGCGTGGATACTTTGCCTGATACACCCCTAAAGAATGATGATGGTGACTCGGACACACAAAAGACTCGGGTAATGCTCTCATAATATTTTAATAGATTGTATTTAGACGAATCAGTCCAGTAATTCTCTTTCCGTAACTCCTTCGAGACGTGAAAGTAAAATGAAGTCAGATATGTCTCGTTCTACTTCCATCTCAGGACTTACTGATAATGTTAACTTGGAGGACATTTATGAGTACGACTGGGCTGATAGTGATTCTGAATCACCTGGTGGAAAACATGAAAAGGAGTCATACATAGTTCAAGAAGTTCTTGCTGACTTTTTAAAGGTTGGTTTTATCTCGTACTTACTGTCGCTTTTTTCGTTCTAGAATTCAGGGTATTAATACTGTAATATTTTTATTAGTCGCAAATGTTTATTTTAGGTGTCAGGGGTATGTTCGTTTATCACAGAAATAATCCTTTAGTTATTTATGACTGACGTTCTATATCTTTCTGTTATTGGGTTCTCGTTTCTCGATGTATATTGTAGTAACTTCTGCTGAAATATGAGCCTAAAGATCTCTTCAAATTTTGCTGGAATTTGGGGAAGAATAGATCAACATAACTTCCGCTCTTTTCAGTGCGTTGTGGAATAGCATTGCAGTAAATTAATCATTCAAAGGTCGAAAGATATCTGCAATAGGACACAAAAAAGGGATAAGGTAGGAAGGCATACTTAGTAAGAAACAATCAGTTTATTAGAATAAATAAAATAATAATCAGCACAATATTTCAAGAAGCATTCTCTCTGAACACTAGTCATCGTTGTGTAATCTAAATTCCATATTAACTTCTGCGGTTTCTACACTTTTTACATTAGAGGACATAAAAGTTATGATAAGTTTTTGTTTAAAACTGTAGAAATATATCTATGTAAGTGAAACAAATGGTTTTCATGATACAAGTTAAGTTTTTGATGATGAAAACTCCATTATCTGTAAATTTCTACCGTTTTGATTGATTGCAGTATAACAATTTGTTCATGGCAATTATATTGTTTACTAGATATTTTGAATTACCGTTTGTTTTGTAACGTGTAGCTGCAGCTAATCCATATTTATTTAAGTCTCTTTATTCGTATGAATGAATGAACGTGAAGTCATGGTTAACTACAGTAACCAAAGTATCTCAGCAATAGTATGATTCAGTGTTTGGACGGTTTTTCGTAGGTAAAATGTTTGGATAAGTTTGTGGTTTTTTTCATATTACGTTTTATTAAGAACCTTTGTATGTATTTTGTATTGGATTTTATTCCTAATTTTGTTTCTATCAGGTTTTCAAGCAGTTCTGTTGATTAACATTTTTTCCTTTTTATTAGGTTAAATCTTTTAAACGCAAGTACCCTGATCTATCTAGGCGCGCTATGGATGCTTATGAACGATCGTGGTTGCAACAAGAGGGGATTGTTCCCGTTGGTCGTGCAGACCTTGGTCTCACAGCACTCAAAACTGATGATGTTATGAAGCTTTTGCAACAGGATTACCCAGAGATACACATTGCTCTCACGGATTTGTTTCGTCGACGAAAATTTAAAACGGCTGTCGAGAATCAAAAGCGTCAGTATGAAGTGAGTTTGAATAGTAGAAATCATTTTCTTGACCAAACAGCTTCTACTTTACAATTTCTAACTAATACAGCACCCAGCTGTGATTTTTTTAGGCAAATTTGGTTGAAGTAGTTATCAGCGGGCACTCCTAATGAATTTTGTTCACTGTATCTAATGAAAGCACACTAAGGTATCAGCGAATTCTTTGAGATGAAGAGGGAATCCTTAGTTGATGGAATGTGCATACATAATACTTTGTTTGGTGTTATGTATTGCTTAGAAAATCGTGGTCTATAAAATCAAATGATTCTGTTAGGCTAAATAAAATGGATTGTATTTAGATACGAATGATTACACATATTTTCAGGAATTCCGAGGGGAGTGACTGTGTTTACCACACCTTTCATCAGATTCCGTTTGATTTATTTTTCCCAGAGAACTGTCAAATTTTAGTTATAATTAGGTTATGAGATTTTAGGTCACACGTTTTGTGTGATTATTAGTAGGCATACCTGGTTTTCAAGGTTTAAGTGGATAGATTAAATGGAAATCATCTACATGGTGGTTGTAGTTCGACATTTGTAACTGAATGATATTATGCATATCAAATAATAAGATGAAGCCAATTTTCGACTCATTGAACCTTGTATGTTTATTAGTTTTCTGTCATTTGTAAGGCAGAAAAATGTACACATCAATCTAAGGTTACTGAGATATAAAGGTTTAAAGAATATAGTGTCCCTGGCATGAGAACTATCATCCTTTAGTTACTTAGATTCCTTGTTTCATAATCTTTTCTGGAATGACTTTAAATTCTAAGGTTTGGGTTGAACCTATGTTTACGGTGTTAATTCTTTACATAGGCTGCTCGTATTGAACGTGGAGAGGCTCGAGCTGAAGCAGCTCGCAGACGAGCGTTAGATTCTGCTGCCGATTACAATCATCGCTTGATTACCGAACGTATGAGTTCAAGACGTTGTTATTGGGATTTACAGACAATGCAAATTCACATTCCCCAGAGAATTTATAAGTTATTAGAATACCCAACTTTTCCGAATGGTGCATATCCTGTGGCAGTCATACCTGGACAGTTTGCAGAATATTTCATGAGCTATACTCCTGAACAGTTATCATACCTTCCATTATCACGTGTTTTATATCCACATCCACTACGAAAACATAGAAATCCACCTCCTCTCCCCACAACACTTCGATTTGGTTCGATTAAGCCGAAAGTCAATCCACCTACTATGACCTCTTGTGATTTCGGTGATCAAAATTCATTTGGTTTAGACCATTCTAGATCTATTGACTCTTTAAACCATCAAACCACAAGCTCGATGGAAGGTCTTCGGACTAGATATGCAAACGGATCACTATTATCAAGTGGTGTTGCTAAGTAAGACCCTGAACATTTACAGTATCGCTGAATACTTGCATTTTACTTTAATTTTAACGTGTATAGACTTTTTTCATAGGACGTCCTATTTAAAATTTTCACTAAGACATTGATCAGTTGTTAAAGTAGTAAAGTGATACAATGCTCAAGAATTAAGCCTAGCGTTCAGGTCCTAATTGATTAGAGACTGAGTGACCTATAAACTATGGCATTTTATCATATTTAATTCGTGTTAATATTCTGTATATATGTCATTGTATTACATAAAAAAACTAATTCTTTTGAGGTCTCATTCAGGAAGGCTGCTGTGCAAATCAGATTTCTCCCTCTAGTTAGCAAAGAGGAAAGAATATGATAGACGTGGAGTCGTTCACTGTATTGAAGTTGGAGTTGAAAAATATTAGCTTATTACGAATATGTACTACAGATGCGTTCGAAGAAGACATGAAAATGCTAACTGAAACATTGATATTAAATGGTTTCCCATTGACATTTACAAATCAGTATAAAAGTCAGTTAACATCAGAACCAATTCTTAATTCTGTTGCGTAAAAAGGTTTTATCATTCAGAGAAGAGTCGAGCAGCATAATTTTGAAATAGAGACTAAGAGTACCCATCGAGGATATGCACTGTGCTGCTAAATTGGTTATCATTGAAAAAATGAGGCCTATGATTCCACAGAGGTCTAAACATGTCACATGATTACGTCACGTCCCACTATATTTACCACATGTTTCTGTGGACATACGCATGGGGAGGAGTGATCGAACAAGGATTATGGAACATGTACCCAAATGGCTCCAGATTCAGTTAGTATCAAATTCTCCAACAAACGTAGGAAATAGGAAACAGGCCATATGATCAAGATTAACACAGCTCTTAAAATGTTGCATAGGAAATGTCAAGAGTGAATTCTCGGGTTTATAAAGGGCTAACGTATTAGGGGGTTCAAACTTCCCTTATCGTTATCTTAAGCGTGAATTTTTCCTGGTTATCTTCAATCCATTTTACGACCTAAGTTGGTTTAACATCTTCGTATTCTTTTCATATCACTTCCATCAATGCTTTTCCTTCCTTTATTTTTATTTATCACTTTATATTTGTCCAACTTCCTGCTTAACTGATCATTATTCGTTTTCATTTATAAATGCTTTGAAAAGTATAGGCATGGTCAGATTATTCGAAACGTGTAGCACAAACACGTCACATTTTTTAAGCCAAATATTTGTTCTTATTATTCCATCACGATTTATTAAAGGGACTAATTGCTCTAAATTATCGAAATTCGAAAACGAAGTAAATCAAAACGAAAAGTTGTTTTCATTAATTTCATTATCATGCTCTAAAGTTATGGGTCATTAATTATCGTATTACAATGTTCAAAATAAGCCATACATGAGTGAATTAGACGATTTTATGTCTTTAACGTTTAACATAGGATAATTCACTTGTGTTTACCTTAGTCTGGCCATTATAATACAATCATTCAGTCATCATTAACATAGAGCCTGGCACATACGTATGTCAACTCAAGTTGATGTACCGGTGTGGGACAACATTTAGAGCAAATAAGTTCAAAATAATGTTTTAGCAATGACAATGAATAAGACCAAGCATTGAGATTGGAATTTGAAAAAAACTAAATCAAAGGATATAAACGAAGGAATACTGGAATTCAAAACAAGTGAAAAATAAAGAGTGGATGTGTCTGCATCATCATGAATTTCTAACAACACAATAACTATGGACTCATCATTGTAGAACCTTATGATAAAAATAACTATTCTCCTTAATATTTTCTGTTTTTTAAATGTTCTATGGGGATTATTTGCTTATCACTTTCTTTCTTCAGTTCAAACATGTTAGTTGGTGATAAATCATCGGTTTCTGATGTAGAAACAGATAAAATCAGTAATTCGATCTATCGACGATATAAAACAAATACAGAGATAAATACAGAAAATCCTATTTGTGTTGTATGTGGCCAATTAGCTATGAATTATATACGTTGTTCCGAGTGTAAATTAATTGGTCATCCAAAATGTTTGGATATACCTGATTCTATGCTATCAGGTGTGAAAAGGTAAAACAAAATTTATTATTATTATTATTATTATTATTATTATTATTATTGGTTGTTTGAATCTTCTCATTGATATTTAGGACAGCGATTGATCAGTCTTTTATTGGCACATGTACATCCTGTGCGGATTGCCTCAATATTACATTAGGTTACCAGTGTTATGAGTATATATAGTTGGTGTCTATTTGGGATTCATCAGATGTATGTATCTGCAACCTAGAGTTGACGTTCACACGGGGACTTTTTTATATTTATTTGAACACATAAATATTAATACAAAGAGGCACCGAATATATATGCGTCACACAAGTCACTTGATTGGTGTGTGAACTGTTATACTGCCCGGGTGCCCAGACCGACTCAGGTGGTTGTCTTATGAGGCCACATCCGGAGCCTTCGACCTAATGGTCTGATCCACAAGACAGTGAAACAAGGTAAGGAGATGCCGTTCCATGTTGACCGGTGACCAACGATTGGTTCATACTCTATTTGTTCCTTGAGGATCCTAGAGCCAGCTCATGTGCACCATTGATTCGGAATCAGTGTTTTCCAACTCCCCTAGGTGAACTCTCCATGTCCATCAACCCGGTTAAAGCACTGGACATTCGTTTTTGGTCTTCTCAACTTGGTAAACAACACTTGTGGTGCGCGAAGGCAGTGAGTAGGACTTCCTTGGTAATGATTGTATGCATGTGGCCATGTGAGAGCATTTGGAGAGAGAGGGGGTGCTGACTCTCCCCACCCTCGGCTACACCTGCATTAATCAATTGCAGTTTTAAATATCAATGGGAAGATCCGAACAACCAATATATATATATATATATATATATATATATAAACTAGGATTACAACTCATGCGATTTCACAAGCCAGTGGCTATCTTTACTCATTAGCTAAGTGGATAACGCGATAATGTTTGAAGCGAAAGGCACTGGGTTCGAGTGCTGGAATGAACATCGATTCTTGGATGCAGACACATTCAGCTGACGAATTCCGAGTAAGACGAAACGCGCATCCTAGATTGCATTGCTAGCCACCATCAGTTTCTGCTTAAATATTATTGATTTTGTTGTGAGAATAGATGGATAGTGGTTAGTGTTTGAATCCAGGACCCTCGTTTCTTCCTGTTGGAGACTTATCAGCTGGATGCACCTTCACCCGTTGTTCACATTGAGACGCGAACTCAATACCTTTTGCTTTAAACACCTAACGCATTATTCACCGAGTTGTATCAAGGAATCCGCTTAGGATGCATGTATACCAACTACGAGTGACCAAAATTCAGTCCTATTTATCAATAATTAGATACTTCAAATCTTTCCTGATTTAATACAATTGTATACTTGAATTTGATTAGTTTCTCCATTCACATTGTAGTTTACTGTTTTCCTAATTGATATGTTAAAAAGTTTTTTTACAATGATAATTATACAATCCAGCTCCTCAGGTGTGGAGTTTGAACACCTGCGACTGACTAGTTGAAAGCCTAGTTTGTGGAAAGTGGGAAATAGTAGGATGACTGTTTAAAAGCAAAAAAATACGTTTATGATTCAAAACTACTTGAAGTAATAATAATAACAATAGTAGAAAAATAATAATAGTGGAGGAAGCAGTTTATTTAGGAAAGATACATTAAAAAAAATTATTCCAGTTAAAGAAGTTACATTCACTTTTATAACTTGAAATGTTGCAGCAGGATCACCGCTGACTTTTATTCTGAGCCATTTTCGATAACATCTCCAGCTAGTGTTGCACTCTCTCTAGGACCCCAACCAGGGAGTTGTGAAGGACCAGCAGAAGCCAGTCCTGTACAGCTTTCTTTCATACCACGACATTGTGTGCACTGATCACTTCTCCGCTTTCTTCAATCTATTCCAGCGTCGGCAAATAATGCGCGATGTGGGATTCGCTGGGACGACATTCGTAGGACATGTTCAGACCACCGAATTCTGTGTTTCATGATAGTGACACCGATTGAATTTTTATGCTTGTGCCCGAACACACGATGCCGAGTCTCTGCATTACTAACATGGTGCTGTCACTGGATGTCAGCACTCCTTCGAGTGATCAGACACAGAGTCGTTTAACATCCTCAACCTGGAGAGGCCAGGTTTCACAAACATAGTGCGAAACTGCTCCCACCGACGCGTTGTAGATCCGACCTTCTACAGTCAGACTAACATCACGAAAGCACCAAAGATGGCCCAGATCGCTATGAGCCTCTCTGGTTATCACTATGCGTGAATTGATCTCATCAAAGTATTTCTAAATACCTGATACTTTTTACAAGCAAGATCAACAGAAAAATACAATTCCACAATTTTTTTAAATGCCGAGTGAACATATATATATATATATATATATATATATATATATATATATAGGAGGAATTTTCTATTTCTTTTTAATTTAACAATATATAGAGTAATATTGTTGACATTCATAAATTTATATCGCTCGGTGTATTTTCTTGTTTATTTTTAGCTATGATTGGACATGTTTAGAGTGTAAACGGTGTGTGGAATGTAATGATTCAGGTCAAGAAGATCAAATGATGTTTTGCGATCGTTGTGATAGGGGTTATCATGCATTTTGTGTTGGTTTAGGACGAATTCCCAATGGAAATTGGGAATGTTTATTATGTGAATCATTGCCAACTCCGCCTAGGAAAGGACGTCCTAGAAAAAATAGACCTAAAGACTCGGATGATTTACCATGGGGTTATAGTGTGAAGAAACCACGTAAATCAATATTGAAGCGGAAAATTTGTCAAACACCAGGTGTCAATGATACCAAAAACACATCTTTAGCATATAGTTCTTATCCATACGGTAGCGTTCAACCAATAGTCCCTGGTGCTGAATTAGTACCTAAACGACGTCGAGGCCGTCCTCCGACAAAAAATCGCGTTATTGTATCTCTTCCACCCCCGTCTTCTCCATATTTTTCGAATCCAACCAACTTTAGTCCTACTCGTTCAGATGTTTCTATACCCCTACCAACCTCTCCACCTACACCATTATCGATCAAAGTGTCTATGATTGAAAGTGAACCTTCAGGACTATGTCCAGTTAACCCCATTTCAACTAAAATAGAATCCTTTGTTGCGGAAAAAGTTGATATTTCCGAAAAGTCTGAACATTTAAAACCGGATAACAATGATAGTATTATTAATAATAGTAGTACGGTCGATCAAACTGAAAATGACATTGTGAAACATGTTGATGAAATGCAGATTCCTTCTTCAACAAATTCATCTGAATCAAATAATATTGAAAATTGATTATTCATTTAAACTGTTAACCATCTTTTACCCTCCAGACTTTGTATATTTATCCATTGTACTTAAAAATCCCTAGTTTCAGTTTTAATAACTAGTTTAAGTTATCTTTCTTTCCATGTATTTGTAATAATGAAATTTATATTCTATATTTCAATTATGTTTGAATTTCTGAAATATATTTATTGTTATAAGTCAGTTATTTTGTTTGTTTATGGATTATTTATTTATTTAAACGCAAACATTGGTACAAAGGAGCATCGAATACATATGCGTCACACACGTCACTTGATTGGTGTGTGGACTGTTATATTGCCCGGGTGCCCAAACCGATTCAGGTAGTTTTCTTATGGGGCCACATCCGGAGCTTTCGACCTAATGGTCTGATCCATAAGGCAGTGGAACAACGTAAGGAGATGCCGTTCCATGGTAACCGGTGACCAAAGATTTGTTCATACTCTATTTGTTCCTTGAGGATCCTAGAGCCAGCTCATGTGCACCATTGGTTTGCAATCAGTGTTTTCCAACTCCCCTAGGTGAACTCTCCATGTCCACCAACCCAGTTAAAGCATCGGAAATTTGCTTTTCGTCTTCTCAATTTTTTAAACAACACCCCCGCTGAGAGAAGGAAGTGAGTAGGACTTCCCTGTGAGTGGTTGTATGCACGTGGCCATGTGAGAGCATTTGGAGAGAGAGAGAGGGGGGTGACTGACTTTCCCCATCCTCGGCCGTACCTGGGCATTTGGGGGCTTATAGTTATCAGTATGAGTTATTTGTTGAGATTGTAGTGTTTTCCCAGTTGGAAGCACGAGTCTATTTAAGTTAAACCAATATATTGATTTTCAATAGTGGACAAAGAGGCTATCCAATGCTTCTAGGTTTTCAATTGTAATCTAGTTTAGATTGACTTGTGATTTCAATTATGAAAAGATTTATTGATACCAGTTAAATGAAAAAAACCTATGAAATTCAACGAAAGGATCTCTTTTCAACGAATTTATTATCAAACTGTACAATCATATATTAATATGTATTAATTCTGTAAAGACATAAAGAAAGAATGAACATGATTATATTATAAATGGATTATATACTGGTGTATAACTTCTACAAGGCATGTGCAATTAATAAGAGTGTAAAATTAATTATTGAATTCTAGTGTGAATAAAGTGAAATAATTAAAATACTGTTAAAGGTATGTTATAACTTATGGCCTATATGCCCTGTTAATGTATAATATGATGATACAGCTAATTAGAGAGCGACGAATTATCGATCGAACCAGTGAGGCATAAAACACGTGTGAGCAGCCTAGAGTCCTTATTGGTCTCGCTTCCTGTCTAGCCCAGCCAGTGAAGTCCAGAACACCAATCTCAGCCTCTGCAATATGAATCGTTTATTTCAAACATACGGGGTTTATATTACCAACCAAACAGACCACATCGTACCATAAAATAGGAAACAATATTTGTACAAGATTTAGCGAAAAGCAGTTGTGAATGTGGGAGGTAGTGATTAGTAGACTTTGTATAACTCAAGAATGGTAAATCGTATAATAGTAATTCATAGGTCAGTATAAAACTCATAATAAGAGGGACATGAATATGAACAGTTTAGTTACATAACAATTATACAATAAAAATATACTTATAGTAATGATATATAAATGCATTTCAAAAGTTATCACTCATTGTTCTCATCGGGATATAACAAGACAATAGAGAGGGGTTAAATGAAGTGAAGTGATGTCAGAGACAATTATAAGTAAAATCATGGGGATATTAGAGGTAATTAGAGAGTGAGGACATTTTTTTAACTTACAAAATCAATGAAATGAAAATAATGTTAGGTTAAGGCTATAGTAAAGACAAGGATAAGGACATACTTCTTTCTCACACAAAGTTCCTGCTTCGTTTCGTACATAGCAGAAACGTTTGTTATTCGAAGGAGTTAAATACAAAGAAATCTTGGTCGATGTGGACGAATCTTATAAACTACGTTAAAATCGGTATGTGGGTTAGTTGAGTGATTAGAGTTGACTAAATGTTCAGGGATAGAACTAACTAGTTTCCTCTCACTATCGTCGAACTGTACTGGGATATGTCCTCGTATGCGTGTTGAAAGCATGCTTTGACTACGATCTATGTACCTTGCTCTACAGGACTAGGTAAACTGGTAGATAAACATAAAGGCGATCAGATGAGTGAGCTTTATTCTTTACGGATATGAAAAACAGATTTCTGGTTGTAAATGTTAATTTCAGTTTAGGTGCATAGGACATTGTTCTAATTGTTAAAGATAACCAATTCTTAGGTTGATTATCAGTTGTTTCACTTTTAAATATTAGATTCATATAAAAATATTTACTTGGAACGGGATTTTAGGAATCCTTGTTTCAAATTGATTTTATGTTCTTATTTAAGGAATAGCTTGGAATAGTTGTTTCCAGTTGAATTTTTTTTCTGAGAAAAGCAAATTCTCAATACCACAGATCTTACATATTCGGTAACATGAAGAGTGAACGATATTTCTCTTTCTACTTAAAATAACCCAGTTATGGAATTGGGCTATTATTCACACCATATAATGTAGTGTTGTAATATTTCTGTAACATTATCATGTTTAGTTATAATTAATATTTTGATCACGGAATTAATACTTAAAATTTTACATACATATATCTACTAATGTATAGACTGATACTCAGTTTGTTAGAAAAAGATCTCTTTGTTGAATTTCATGTTTTTAATTGTTAATTAAGTTTATCATAGCTTATGAAATGGTACACTTCCCTGATCATATTTGATTGGGAAGGTTTCTGTTTATTAACCAAATAAAGTTATATACAGTAGTTCGCTTTGTATTATTATTGTTTATATTACATGAGATATCAAGGTAGGAAACCTGTATAGACTGTTTGTAATTGTCTTTGTAACGCCATTAAATAAGTAATACTGAGGTTATACGTAGTTTTATGCAGAAATCATGATTCAAACGGTTATGCTGCTCAGGTTCATATCCTGCTGGCGACGAACTTTGTCACCAAATGCCCTGGTACGGCCGAGAGTGGGGGGAGTCCTCCCTCCTTCTCTAAATGCTCTCACATGGCCACGTGCATACAACCACTCACAGGGAAGTCCTACTCACTTCCTTCTCTCAGCGGGGGTGTTGTTTAAAAAATTGAGAAGACGAAAAGCAAATTTCCGATGCTTTAACTGGGTTGGTGGACATGGAGAGTTCACCTAGGGGAGTTGGAAAACACTGATTCCAAACCAATGGTGTACATGGGCTGACTCTAGGATCCTCAAGGAACAAATGGAGTATGAACAAATCTTTGGTCACCGGTTACCATGGAACTGCATCTCCTTATGTTGTTCCACTATCTTGTGGATCAGATTATTAGGTCGAAAGCTCCGGATGTGGCCCCATAAGAAAACCACCTGAATCGGTTTGGGCACCCGGGCAATATAACAGTCCACACCCCAATCAAGTGACTTGTTTGGATGCATATATATTCGGTGCCTCTTTGTACCAATATTCATGTGTCCAAATAAATTATATTATTTATTAAGTCGGAACATATGTTGTGCCTGCTTAGTTGACGTTTACTTTGACTTCCTATATTGATTAACTAGCAAGTAATTCAGAAAGAATCTAGCGATGGCTAAATCAGGAAATAACATTATTACGGTTATTTTGAACAGCGTTAACATTATTTATAGTTATTACTCTTATATAAATATAGTGCTGTAAATATCGCTTATATTTAATCTATCTTACTGATCAGATTTAATTGATGAACCATTTTCTTACTGCTTTTACAAAGTCATGTAAGTGATCAAATCATTGACATGAAGTTTTGATATTGTTACTGTCATTGTTCATCAATCTTTTGATGTATCTAATAACTTTAGGTTTGTTTTTTGTATTGTTAGTAACTACTCAGCTGCATTACTTTCAGTCCGAAAAATGGTAATCATTAGTTCATAAAGTTAATTACTACTGCTACGAGGTAGGATATGCAACTCCCTAGTTCAACTCTCAATACAATTACTGTAATCTGTGGTTAAAAACATGGTGTTGTTACTCAGAATGGATTACAATAATGTAGTTGGATACGTTCTTAATCATCTTCTAAATCTAAAGTTTTAATATTAGATTTCAGTTTTCCGCTTGACACTCATTTATTCCTGTTGAACTAAACTTCACATCGTTGAGTTTCCACTTACCATTAATTTAACTCCTTTTCTATCTGTTTAATTTCTTTCCTCGTTTCAACATGATTTATTGAGTACTACTTGTTCAAGTTTGAATAATACATCTGAAATCGATTAAAGACAGAGAATTATTGTAGTGGAAGCTATTCACAAGGATATTTGTAGGTAGTATTTTGTGAACCGTCGCGTCGAAGTTGTAACAATTGTCGGAAAGAGAGTAAAGTGTTTTAGTTCATTGAAAGCACACAGATAACAGAACACTTGAAGACCAGTTAAGAAGACAATTTAGAATGTGAAACATACAGAAAGATGCAAATGGAAGATTGAAGGCTATGTGTATGTATTTCTATCAACCAAAGGATGTGTTTACTGCGCAGCAGTTCGTTTCGTCCTACTTTATGGCAGCGAAACATGGCCGGTAAGAGTGGAGAATATCCGTAGGTTACTAGTATTTGATCATAGGTGTCTTCGAAACATTGCTCGTATATCCTGGGACCATCGACTAAGTAACGCAGTTGTTAAGAAACGGGTACTAGGTAAGGATGGCAAATCAATTGATGAAGTAGTGAAACTTGATCAGTTGAGATGGCTGGGACATGTGTTACGTATGCCCAACGACCGACTGCCTCGACGTGCTATGTTCAGTGGTATAGGAGTAGGTTGGAAGAAAGCTAGGGGCGGCCAAACCAAAACATGGCACAAGTCCATGAAGTCACTGACAAGTGAACTGAGTCATGTTGGTAGGTGTAGACTACCTGGTTGGGGACCGCGAGATGATAACAACCGATGGTTCGAGACCCTGAATAACATGGCTCAAAATCGTTTGCAATGGCTCAGGTGCATCCACTCTTTGTGTTCTCCCAAATTCTAATCTGAATTTTTCATGTCCCTTTCTTTCTCTTTCCAAATTTACTTCACTATATTATACTCCTTGAATAACGTCTTCAAACCCTAACGTTTCCGATTACTGCTTATACTT